GGAACTTCGTTTATAGAAGATTGAATAGAGATTGATGAGAATGTTGATCCCCTTTCAACCCATCGATCACGGGTTAATTTTTTTTTCATTTTTTTCCTTGCTAGATCTTTTTTCTGATTCTTTATTTTTAAGTACTTTTCGACGGTGAGTCGTTTTGTGAGGGAGCCGAAATGCAGTTGGAATGTCGTGAAGGTCGCCGATTGGCCATCTACTCGGCCACATATGGAAGAAGCACTCGAACACAGGCAGCTCACTGTACAGCACCGGTCCATTTTGCTAAAGGTAAGAGTTTCTATTTGAGAGCCAATGGGTAAAAGGTGCAGAAGAGTACGGTACCCAGCCACCTAAACATTTAGGTCAAGATCTTCATTTGAATACAATGAAATCTGGCCAAAATGCTTAATGCGCTCAGGGAAATGGCAGACCGTTGCTGCACAAAATCGCTGCCCCAATCCACTTTGGTCCGACTTGGTTAAGTCTTAAGGGTGGTGATCACAGTTAGAAGGCGACGCGGTTTTGATTCTTGCTGGGAGTCATTTCTGGCATGGTGGATGGGAAGCTGGGTCCTAACTCCGCTCTCGCTACGCATTAAGGAGTTCGGTCTAGAAGAGTGTCCTGCAACGTGGTCAAAACCGCACCCCCCCCCAAACCATGCTGTTCAATTGGCCTTTAAGTCCTTTTGAGGTCACTCGGTCAGTGACGAGTCATTTAGTATTGTAATTCAGCACCAAACTAAGAGTTGGTCCTGCAAGTGAGCACACCAAGATGAATCCGGGAGCGCCGGAACCGGTTCGGCTGGGTTGTGGAACCCGTTGAGTGCTAGCTTGTACGCAGTGACATTGACGACAATTTACGTACACCGGTGATTTCCCGCGCTTGCCCCTTCATTAAACGATCGACCCTCTCCTCCTTCTTGCCACATCTAAACACCACCTGTCGTTTCTCAAATCGCCGCCGCCGAGGCGGCCGATGACTTTCTGGCGCGATTTCGTTGAGTGTCACCTGCTTACGCAAGAGGTATAATAATTCGATGTGAAAGGGAATAGAAGAGTTCGGGGACGTTACGAGGGCTATGGCCTTAAGTTGACAGGGAGAAGACTCTTTCAGACCATTCCAGGGTTTAAATGACAATATACTAACATCGCGGTTGCTGGTGGTTTGTTTTCCGTGTTAGTGCCCACCTTAGAGTTAAAGTGATTTTTCTATTCTCCTCTTCAGGTCAGGTCACTTGAAGTAATTCGCTACTCATTTACTCGAAGCAAGCTTATCGTTAGGACTGCCTTGGCCTATCATAGGCCTAAACATGAGCCGAATGTAAATGAAACAACAAGGGAGGTCGTTCAGGGTGTGCCAAGCTTTTTCAAAATGGTTTCTTGCATGACATTGGGGCACATATGGGGACCACAGAAGCATGGTTCATTTTTCCTGAACGGCCCTCTGAATACCAGAAAAGGGGTCCCTAGTTCGATTCCTCGTGGTGACAAATTTTTGCATTTCGAGTTGACGTTTCAAAATTCGCGCAAAATGGAGTTAGCATGAATAATTAGTACCATATTCATGATTAGGACCGTCAGTAACCCTTACAAATAGACTTTGATTGAAAAACTGGTGAAAAAGGTGTGACTAGGGACCCCCTTTTCTGGTATTCAGAGGGCCGTTCAGGAAAAATTAACCATGGTTCTGTGGTTCCCGCATGTGCCCCTATATCATGCAAAAGACCGTTTTGAAAAAGCTTGGCACACCCTGAAAGACCTTCCTGGTAAGCTAGAATCAAACATACCTTTAGCTTCATGATCGACAGCTCTCCTGACCTGACTCAGGAGGAGCACTGAAGGTCTCCATCTACTTTGCCTATCTTTTCCTTTCTTCTTTCGCAATACTTGTAGACAAGGCAATTTCTGGCCCGGGTTTATCGTGGCTGAGCCAATTATAATTAAAGCGCTGGCGAGCGAATTCAAGAAGATAAGGAGGTACGCGGCATAGCTTCCATGCGAGTGTATAACATGAAATAAAAAAAGATACTATTTAATAAAACAGAAAAATTTTAAAATTGCTATCAGCCATAACTCTGACATGGCAACCAGTCGAATCATTGTTATTTGAGTCCATTTGTGAAAATTTATATTAGGCTTTATCTTTACTATTTATATTTATAATAGTTATTGTGAGAAAATTTATTTTTTTGCCAACTGTCTTCTTGCGAGTAGCTGTAGCCCAAGTAATCGTGGTCCACCATAAGAGCTGGCGGTGTAGTTTACTGGCGGTGAACAAGCTTCTCAAAATTATGACCTCAATTTTGTTGGTCCCCTAATAATTGGGGTCGAGTTGCAGCAAAGCCATCTGCAAGCTAACCTCTCAGTTGATATTAGGCTCCATCGGAGGGCATGGCTCCCATACATGTCTACCATGGGCTAGTTCGGCACCTATTCCGTGCATTGTTTCGTAAATTGTCATTTTCGTGGGAAATTGATTATTGAAATTGTAAACGAGGAGAACTTCGCTCCTGTGAAGTTGAATTGACATTTGAAACATTTGAAGGTAGTTGAACCTGAAAAAAACGAGGGGGAAGGACGACAGGGTGCAAATTTTTCATCAGTTCGTGACCACTCGAATCTCTCCGACAGGACGTTGCTTTATTACTTGAAATTCGGCTACGGGTGCCGACGCCCCATTACTCTTTATTCTTGCTACGACACTGAATAGATGTCAAGGGCATGGCCCAAGCCTGTAGTCTTAGATTATATTGGCACGTCATCTAAGTGTTGGCACGAAAAGGGGGTTCATTTCCCATGAAGGTTCATGAATGACAATGGAATTGTCAGGAAAGTAAAGAAAAATAGATAAAAAAGAAAAAAAGGAAAAAGGATTAATTGGGTCACAGGATGTCCGATATATATGGAAGTGTACAAACGCTGTTATTTCACAGAAACTCTTTCGTTTTAGTTTTCGTTGAAAAAAAATTAATAAATATGACCTGCAAAATCTGAAAGTTATACGATTCTTTTTTCTGGTTGCGAATGAGCCTTCAGCAGCTTCGCCACGCAGTCGACGCCGTAAATAACCCAGGTTCGATAACTTTCCTCTCCCCACCGCCTCCCAAGCTGTTTTTGGTTTAGGAGAGCGCCACCCAAACTTAATGTTTTCCTATTATTTGTCTACATTGGGTAAAGAACAGAATCATGCCACAGTGATGAATCTTGAGAGCTGGAATAAAGGAGTAGATGATCTGCAAATTTTGCAGCCATGGCAGTGGCCATTTCCGGTTTCAACTAGCGTTTATAAAGTAATTCCTCGTTGAAACCGTGGTTTCAATTCGGATTGAAGTTCGCGTGATTTTCTCACGCTTGTTAAGGTTCAAGGGTTCACAATTCCTCGAGCCTCGCCCAGGATTAATAATGACGTTACTGGAGCTTTGGCTCAGCCGATTCTCACAGGGCTTCCCCATGAATCTCAAGTAGATGGTAATTGAAAAGTACACGATCACAGACGAGATTTGTCAATACCGTGGGAATACATTCGGCTTGTCGGGCATAAAATTTCTTCCCATACATGGAAATTCAGCTGACATTCGACGATATTTGCCTAGGTACAATCGCAGCTTTACATTTTAGTTTTGGATTTTTGGGTTCCAGAATTTTCGATTCGGCAAAAAATCAAATGTATCTTTGGTTTTTAAGAATTGAGACCTGGAGTTCTGGCGGAACTTGCTGATCAGTTAAACGGCGAATTCGCGCTTGGCCGAGAACTACATATCAGCGCGCTAGTTACCCTCATTAGGAGGTGCGAGTCTCGCTTTCCTGCCCTACAAGACTTTTTCTGATCCCCGAGGGCTTGGCACAATCGCGCCAGTTTTATGGTCTTTGGCTCATAATCATCATGATGTATCTCCGAGGGCATTTCTTGGCGCAGAAGGGAATAACTGTAGACAGTCGTTTTCCACCAAAAGTGGTCTACCGATACCTCCTGTTCAACCGTCGGATGCAGGTCAACACGTGAGAATTGCGGTATCCGTTATAGCTGCTTCACTAGCGTCGACATGGTGATCCAGTTTCAGCTTGCCCCTGCAATCCTTACCTCCTGACCCACATTCCCGTATCCCTCCTCCACCTATATTCCCTATCCCTCCTCCCCTATATTACCAATCGAGTGATAATAAAACTCTACTGAACTGACAAATCATGCCACGCTCACAACATGCTCCCTCATGCACCGCTGTATAGGCCTTTCTTGAAAATTATATCGCCGCCAAAAATTGCACAATCAACGCAGACACGGGTTTTATTTTTATGCTAAGGCCTCTGTTTTGGAAAAAGATTTTCAAATTAACATTACGGATTGGGAACTCGGAAATGATACCGCAGTATTCAGCGCCGTTTCGATGTAGTGGTTTTTTGTTCACTGCGCACTCAGTTAGACGAGCCAAAAAAGGCTAAATGGATTATGGAAACGCGGACATTTCGAACGCGGCTTAGAGTCAAGAAAGGACTGGCAAATTTCAACAGTATCTAAAGAATGCTGTTCCGGAACGCATTGAAGAATGCCAATACCTCAAATCAGTTCGGCGGCTTTTGAAGTCTTACGATTCGCTAATGTGTGTCTGGTGCGGCAAATGCTTTGATGGCGAGCCGACAGTGGCTGAGGTCAGCAATAGTGCGCTGTTCAGCACGTCACCGAAAAAACTTGTGATTCATAAGAGCTTGAGAAATTGCTTCCCGCACAACTTCCCTGACCGTTGTGGTTTTGAGGAAAAAATAAAAGAGGAAATGGTTGGGTAACTGGATGTGCATGAGCTATTCGCAAACTGACGCTGGTGGGGGGAGGGTTGAACAGGGAGAGGGACCCCAATTCACAGCCATCAGGTCACATAGCGAATGTCTCCAGAATGTCAACCTTCAATATCATGATGGTTATCCTTGTTGGCAAACTTTGTTTGAGAAATCGTGAGAGGGTTGTTACTCTTACTAGATAAGAATCCTTTCCTTACCATTGAATTGCGGATGAATCTATCTGAGCTGATCCCGCCATTGCGTAAGAAATGGAGAGATGCTGCAAAGTAGGGTGAAAATCGTTAAAAGACTCGCCGGGCCTTTGTCGAGGATTCTAGCCTAATCAGTCTGTACTCCTCCCGCTCGGACATCCACTCTCGACTCTATTATCACACTGTAAGAACCAATGCGTCAAGGATTGTCCTCGACCCATATTCAGCCTGGCTGCAAATCGCAAGAGTATTTCACTTTCGCATGGTCTGCGGGTATATTCGGCGTCAAATCTCGCTGAAAGCTATGCCAACCCTAACCATCCGTCCATGGGTCTAACAATCATGCCATCGTGTTGGAAAGATTAACGAGTAGCTGAATTTAAATTGTATACCGTGTATCATTCCGCATATTTATTTCAGTTACAACGGCACAAAGCACCTTTGGAACAGTAGCGTTTTCTAATGTGAACCTGTTTTATTTATATTTTTATACGTCCAGAACGACATAGCCGGCTTCACTAATGGGGTGAGCAGTAAAGTTATACGAGACTTATCATGGAAAAAGAAAGAGAGCAAAAAAAGTTGAAAGGAACTGAAACAAAAGAGCAAGACATAAATTCATGGCGCATCCTGAAAAGAAAATTTCTATCTTATATTTATTTTTATAAAAAATCCAATACTGATGCTTTGCCGCTTCTCCTTTTTACGGACCTACAACCAGCTTCATTCAATTAAGTTAGACACAGCGTCAACAATTCAAATAACTTTTTTTCACAAGGCCAGCGGCTAACAGATTCTATTCTACGGGATGATAGGCTAGTTGTCAGGGTAGCTGCTTTTATTTTATTTTCTGTGGTGACCCTTAACTAATTTGTCCTTCATCCAGAAATACTTTCAAAGCAATGATGTGTTGCAGTGGACGAGATTACGGAAATAGGTTTTGGCAAGATGCCAATAATTGTCAAGTGTGTCCCTGGAGAGCTTTGCATTCGATTCTGCTAAGTGGGACGATAATGATATGTCTGCGCGATGTAGCATTTCCTCATAAGCAGGTCAACAACGGGTCCCGGGCGTCTCAACCTCTTCAATGACCAGTTCACATGGAATTCTGTCTCAAGAGAATCCTTTGGGTTTGTGTTTGGCCCAAATAGTTCACTTTTTCCACAGACCTTTGCATACTGAGTAAAAAATTCTGCGGAGTGGGGTCAGCGCAGAATAACAACCTCCCTTTTCAGGCTTTCGAACGCCCCATGAAGGTCTGAGCAGACTCTGATATCAAAAGAACTGCGTCAGTGGTTGTTTAGAGATGCTTTTATCTGTAAGCCATTAGTCGAGATCGATATCAGCTGACCAGTAAACAACTAGCACTCAGAATACAATGTACCGTACAATAGAGAACGGCTAAGGAATGGCCCGCAGATGGTGCGCGATATCGAGCGCGTTGAGTAGTCAGGCTATTCTTTACAATGAGCTGGCAAGAGCTCATGAGGGGACTTGACTAATGGCCCGCACTTAGCAATGGTGTCAGCTCCTTGAAGGAAGCAATCATTCATTGGCAGAATATAGAGTTGCTGGGGAACTTCCAGCCATCTACAAATTCATGGACCCACAGCGGCACTAATTACAGTATTACTTACTTTAGAGTGTACACGTGATGTTCTGCCAGTACTGCTCACGAAATGCCATGCACAACCGGGCTGTTCGTTAATGGTGAACTCTGAAACGCTGGGCAGTCCGTGCCCAAAAGACGTGCCATCGTACCTCAACATTCTCTTCATGTGTGGTAAGGGATTTTCGTTTTGGTATTTATTTTTTATAGAGCGGAACAATTTTTTTCTTTCAAAAGTGATGTTCTGAAAAATTCTAAAATCAAATTTTCTGTCCAAAATCACTTAAAGAAACCTCGCCTTGGATGCCAAAAATACTTTTTATAATAATTCAGATCAAAAATTTTGTAGTTCTACGGTTCCGAAGCTTGATTACTTTCGTTGCAATAAGGATCTGCTATACTATGGATAGCTACATATTGATTTCATTTTCTTTTCTTCTGTTAACTTCTGTTTCTCACCTCAACTTTCAATTGGAATGCTATAGAAAGCTGCTGAATTCTGGGCAACATGTGGCTTCGGTAATAATGAGATTTGTATTGCTCCTTCTCTAGAGTAGGAAGCCCAGGTTCGAGTCCAGCCTAGGACCAAACGCTTAGGCGATAGCTCGAGGATAAACGATGAACGGCGTTTATCAATCCCGTTTCGGTATGCGCCACGCATTTAACTACTACTGAGAATCCTATTGGTATTTTGAAGGCGATTTGCCTATAGGCAATGACTT